TTTCTTTTTAGAATATATCATATAATTTCTCATTGCTACGAATTGATAACTACTCACATATTTCTTGTTGTATAGTGTTATTTGTTTTTTCTCTCATATTACATGACTAATTACATGATGAGAATAGAAGAATACGAGATTAACGGGCTTAAAATAGATATGCATGTAAATTGTAAGCAAGATGCGTAGCCAAATTAGCTAGGATAATATGTTCTTCTGATGCACCTCAATCCGAATCTATATCCCTATTATTTAGATTAGGTTAGAATATTGCTTGAGTCACAAAAATGTTCGATAGAGAAGTATAGTACTAAGTGCAGATCTAGTTGTGCCTCAAATCTGGTGGTAGCTTATTAGTTTAGGATATATTTTTTTTGAAAGACGGACAACTGGTGACAAGTTCCTGTTATCCCTACATTTTGGGAGCCGAAAAGACTCACAAGGAAAGTAATAAACGGTTTGCAACTTTACATGCATACTCAATGATCCAATGCCAAGATAGATGTGTATTAATTGCCCAGCAAACAGACTTGCACCCTCAAATCTATGACGAAGCTATGCATTTTTTCCCTTGCAAATGTATTAGGGTTTTCTTGTTCTTTATCAGTCTACCTCAATTTTTGACAAAGAATTTGACTTATAAGCGGTTTCCGTAATTTGTATTTATCTCTCTCGTCAATTGACTCGTACAACCCAAAATAGCTTAGAATCTCTCGCCGAAAAGTCAATTAACATATCAACTTTGAAGCTAATGTTAGCAACATTGGATACTGCTCCACTTGATCTAATGTGCCATATATTGCTATAATTGCAGGTTTATTAGTTCGTTGAATCTTAACTGATGATATGATGATCCGACAGAAAGTTTTAAAATCTCATGTCATACTGCTAAAAAATCTTGATTAGCATAATTAATTGATGCATTATCTAAAATCTCATGTGATACTGCTAGAAAATCTTGATTAGCATAATTAAGCGATGCATTAGACAAATCATGCGAGCTACATCTAAGTTAAATTTGGAGATGAAAGTCTTCTTCGTTTCTTGACGGTAAAGTAAGACTAAGCTCATGAGTTTATTACCCTAAGTTGGAACAAGTTGATAAAATCCCATTTTTTACTTCTCCACGGGCGTTAAAAAGAAAAGAAACTGATGGAGTTTCTCGCTTTTAGCTGAGTTGATTTTTGCCCCGATGTACTACTTTACAATCTCTGCTGTGAATATCTGTAAACCTGCCAAACAATCCGTCTCTCATCACAGGGTATCCATGGCAGGATGCACAACCACACAAACACACACCATATCTTAGTATTAAAGTCCCATCTCTGTTACAACTTCTGCATTCATATATAAATGATATATGAAAGATAGATTTGGTACGACATTCATGTCTAAATTCGGGACTAAGATTCTCTCCCCTCCTCTTTCCATCCTCTTCCCTTCCTTCCTCTCACATTTTCTATTTTGTTTTTCTCTTTCTATATAAAATTAATATAAGATATTGATGTAACTTAACCGTAACCGTTCAAGACAAGTGGAGGGAAGGAAAGGGGAAAAGAATTGGGAGAGAATCCTACTCCCTAAAATCGAACCAGCAAAAAAAAGTGATTTCCTTCCATCATCATACACAAAAAAATATATCCTCTGATTTATTTTTGGGAAATTTCCTAGAGCAAAGGAAAGTGATTTCCCTCCATCATTATACACAAAAAAAATATATCCTCTGATTTCTTTTTGGGAAATTTCCTAGCAATTATTTCAATCCACCATGATGAGAGTATCAATCTCATATCGGAAAAATGAGGACCTTGTATGTGTTTTTAATTATAAGTAGTTAGGCTACTCTCCATATTACTAATTAATTTTATGGTGAAATCTTAACTTTCTTCATAGTATCATAGCAGATTGACTCGAGTGTGAAGCCCAATGGCTACACCTACTCCACATCACTCGATTTGTGTTGTCCACGTAATAGGCTTGAAAATTTGTCACACGTGAGGGGAAGTGTTGAAAGTATCAATCCCACATCAGGAAAATGAGGGACCTTGCATATCCTAAGTACTTGGGCTACTCTCCATATTGTCAATTAATTTTATAGTGGAACCAAAATATTGGAGGCATATAGTATAGGAATGAGTTCAGGTTTTGAGTATAGTGGGCTAAGTCTATTAAACTCAAAACACAAATGTAAACTTGAATCAAACTCAGTCATTTTGATTCATATATTAATTCAGTGTTACATAAATTAAACTCAAGCAACCCAATTTCTATATACGAAAATCAAACTCACATAGAACATTGCGAAATGCCACAAAAACTGTGTTATTTATAAAAGTTTTTACTAGCACTTCAAAATGACATCATGCACTCTTCAAAGTGTACTAAAGTAATTTATTTTATTTTATTTTTGCTAGGTCATAAACTTTCTTAAGATAAAGAGAATTCCCGAGAACACTCGGAACCCATACAATCAAATATAAACGTTTGGCGTGCCTCGCTCGGAAGCACCATATCCCAATACAAATGTTTTCAACATTTTAACCAACAGAAGTAATAGCACATGCGAGAAAGTTTGCTTCTCTAAAAATATGTTGCCATGCTGATTAGAATAAAAAGAAATCACTAGCCATTTGATGTCGTCAACAATAGTTCTAAGCCTCCAAGGATCTTGCAACTTTCGAAAATCCCAACTATAATCATCTTGGAGTCGCCCTCAACTTTCACATCCTTGATATTTCTTTATATTTCCAAATTTGTTATCTTTTTCTCATTGAACTGCCTAAAGGCCCAAAACTCCACCATCTTTCTTCAAGAGATTACAATGTGTTCCACCAAACAAATGGGTTACATGGACCATCCTTCAACAACTAATAACTTTTTGTACCCAACAATATCACTATCATAGGCGTTAAAATTGTAATATTTACTTCTCAGTCAAGTCTTAGGGGCTTTTAGGCCTCATCATTATGTGAGCATGTTTGAAACGCGTATTTGGTAAGTTTCTTTTTTGCCAAGATGTTTGGTGGTATGTTAATTTGTTTAGGAAGTTTCTTCCTCTTTGTGGAGAGTGATTATGTGAAGGCCACTGCAACACTCAATAGGACCTATTCGGACTCGTTGGCAATAGGTTTGATTGTGGATGATGTGTTGCAGGTGGCCTCCTCCTTCTCTAGGTTGAATTTTATTCATGTTTCTCGTTTATGTAATGAGGTTGCCCATTGTCTTGCAAAGTTTGGTTTGACTAGTAGCAATAATTTAGTTTGGACTAAGGAAGCTCCTATTCTCATTTAGGATCTCCTCCTCCAAGACATTTTTAGCTCCTCATAAGTTTATTTCGAATCAATGCAACGCTTTTCTTTCAAAAAAAAAAAAAATTATTGTATCAAATCGACAGTATCAATGCAATATTTGATACATGGTTTATGCCACATCAAGATTAAATCGCAATCTATCAAATATCGATATAATGAGACAATATCTACATTATTGTCACATATTGAAACGATGTTGGTATAATGTGACTAATTGCTAAAGTAAATTGTCCAATACTCAAACCCAACAAACAAGAAAAAGAGAAGATCAAATCAAAGGGATAAGCAAACTTAATCTAATTAAAGTAATTAAGATTAAATACAGAGATACTTTGTTATTGATATATGAAATAGCATACAAAATATTAATAAACACCAAAATAATGATGGGGTTGGAGATATTAACACTAAAACCAAAATTAATAATATTTCAATAAAATTAAATGAAAGAAAGTATTTTTCATAACTTCATCTTAAGCAATTTAAGCAAGGACCGCCACAGCCATCAAACTTGCATGATAGGTACCCTTTGGATGCGCCCTAGGATGGGCTGGAGTATGGCTTGTCCTTGGTCCGTGGCTTGGGAAAGGGCTTGGGCTTGGGCAATGGCTTTGAGTAGGGCTTGGATCGTGGCTTGAGGGGCTAGGCTTGGACCTGAGTGAGTTGGCCTTGGGTTCGAAGGGATTGGGCTCGGACTTAAAAGTGATGGACTAGAACTTTAAACGTAAGGAAAACTAATGAAAATAACTTGAAAACTTTGAGTTTTAACAATAAAGACAAAATAAAAGGTAAAGTGAATAGTACATGATTGACTTTTTAGTGTAAAAATATGATTTTTCGTTAAAATAAATAATACCGAAAGTTTTTTGTTAAAGTTCCCTTAAATGTATGCGCACATCATGACCTTTGCTAGAGTGAAAGGGTAACCATTGGATGTTTTGTCCTGCACTTTTTGAAATGTTTTATTTCCAGTTGTATAACACCTTGCTTATTGGATTCGTACTTAAAAACTGCAAAAGCAATTTTGCAATGCGTGTCAAAGAATCCGTTGCGATGACTTTGTGTGGCCTTAATTCGGCGTTGGTCAGTTGTAGTCACCGATACGAATTTGTTGTGTCTATCGTCTTTGTAACAGATTTGTGCTGGTGGCAACAACTGTAGTTTTTCGTGCATGTGATAGCCGTTTAGAGATTCAGTCAAGTTGTTTGTTTGAGCATATTTACTATAGATCAATGTCTTGTTCCAGGAGCATTGTCCCCAATCGACACCTATATATTCGTTTGTATTGTTTGATGAAATGCCACTCTATCATTTCTTGTAAAAAAAAATTAGCTAAAAATGACCACCAAACGGTGTTTTGCTTTTTGTCTCTTCCCCTTGCATTGGCCAACCTGTACATGTACTGAAATGTGTACGGATGCGTACGTACTAATTTCTGCAATCATCTTATTGTATATCAAGTGACTTACTTTCATGGCATCATCAGAACAATTAGGTATTAGGGCTTACTCAACAATATGATTAAATTTAGTTTTATCGACATCGCTAACGGATAATTAAAGAAATTAATCCATGTTCTGATTACATTAAAACAACTAATTTTTCACTTGAAAGTGGAATATCTTAAGTTCAATTATCAGAAACGACATTTTTATACCAAATTATTGATAATTCATTGTAAAACTTAACCTAACATCCACCTCCAAGCTCCGTTGTATAAAACAAATGAATAACAAAAACCAATTACACTATTAATAAAAAGAAGCAAGAACCCCCATAATCATCACAAGCATAAGTAGCCCATTAGAAGACTGGACAAATGGAGCACTGCTCTTCTCGGATGAGACAGGAGCAGGTGAAACTGATGCATTAGGGTTTGAAGAACTGGGAGCTGGGGTGTGACTCGGACTTGATGCATTAGGGTTTGAAGAACTGGGTGGTGGGGTGTGAATCGGACTTGATGCATTAGGGCCTGATGATGAAGCAACAACTCTGATGTCAACCTTCTGGCCGGCCTGGCAGTGACCGGGGACACCGCAAATGTAGAACAAGTGTTCAGGTTTCGTCAACTTTATACTGTCGTTGCCGGAGGCGGTGGTGGTGATTGCATCCGTTGAGTTGCAGGCCTTGAAATTTCCGTGGGTCACTTGTGCCACATTATGCTCCTTGGCATTGTACTCAAAAACTGCACATGCAATAATACCACACTGTAAAGATAGTTGATTTGCGCTGCCACTAAAGAAATGTGGCGTTAGAGAGAAGCATTTGAAAATAAAAATATGTAGAGAAAAAAAACCTATCTAGTGTGAATAAAAAAAAAGTTGAGTTTATGATTTTTTTTTCTCTTCGAAACAATGTTTTAAGCAATTTTGACAATAAAATGGACTTTTAGGTGTTTTATTTAGGAAAAAAAAAATATGGTATCCAAAAACTCATGGGTGAGGATTATACGAAATTGAGAACATAGCAATTAGTTCTTGGTTAGGTTGATATTTATTTCATGGAAGGGTGAGCTGCCAATGACAAAACCACCCGCTATTCCTTTTTTTATTTTAGAAAAAAAAAACCTACCTATCCTCACATATTAGAAATAGTCTCATAATACCAAACTTCAAATTTTAAAGTTATTTTTTATTTTTTACAAACAAGTGATATAGGGTTTCACATCATGGAATTTAATTTAACAGTTACTCCCACAAGGTTCAAAATCGAACATCTTCTGGAAAAGTAAAGACTATATCAAACAATCATAGCCCCATTTATCCAATAAGATTAAACCACAAGCATACATAACTGCACACAGGAAAGAACACAACCCTAATTAATCTTTATCAGAAACCCTGGTTAAATCCATATCAAACAATAGGGTGAAAAATAAGGGGAAAAATTTGCTTATTACCGATGGTGTCTCCAACATAAAAGGTCTTGCTAGCTGCCCATTCCTTGTAATTAAAACCATCTTTGGCTGTCCACCCATGGGAGTCACCCACCTTGTACACAGTACCACCAAAACACACCCCAGACAAAGCCACCACCATTACCACGGAAGAAACCAGTGAGTAATCCTTCACGAAAGCCATGGCTAATCAAATATTAAGAAAGCACGGATATCTGTGGCCACAGAAATTCAGTAAAATATAAAGATTATATCTCTGAATTTCGGAGTCAACTGTGATGAAGAGCACCTATAAGAGCATTTATATATGGTAAAATTCAATGGTGCAAATTGAGGAAATGAAATTCAAATATTATTCTTGACCAAAAACTGGTAATTAAATTATGGCAATTACGAAAGCAATCTTTGATTGTTGATCTGACGCGTCCGATCCAGCAATTCTTCTGGTATAGAAAGATCATATCTTGATTCTTAAGTACAAAATCATATCTTATCAAAATTAAAAAAAAGCAAGAATCGTATTACAAGGCAATAAATGTGGCTAGAGTTTATGATAATGCAAAAAATCTGTTCACTCTTGTTTTGGTAGGTTGCAATCAATCCTTCATATTTGAATAAATCTGGGTTAGCCAGTCCAATGGTTTTGGGCCTCAATCTACCACAAATTAGATCATCTAGTCCCCAATTTAACTCGAATGCACTTTGGTCGACTTGGGTTCATAATTTTACAACCCTTTGAAACCGAACCAAACCCGAATTTCAGAGGTTGAGTCGCACCAAAATATAAAAGGTCGGACTATCCAACCTGCTAGAGATGCACCTCTACCATTGGTGGAAAATTGTAACTTATGCTAAGAGCAACTCCAGTGTAGGAGCCCTTCCCCCAGGCTATTCACTATTTAATCCACCCAGTGAACAGTAACTGTCCTTAATGAACAGTAATTGTCGTGGTAATTGCCTTTTGCATCTTCACCCCTGCACTGAATAACCTTGGGAATTGGTAATAAAATATTATTATTATTATTATTTATAATTAATATTATATTATTTACTTTGTATAAATTAATATTATATTATTAATTATATTAATATTATATATTCCTCCTTCTTCCTTTTCTCTACAAATTTCCTTCTTCTTCCCTGCAGATTTGGTTCTGCTTCTTCTTCAATTATTCATCTTCTTCTTCACTTCCTTCTTCGTTTGTTTATTGGAAAACTTCTTCTTCAATTATGCATCTTCTCCGACAACCATCTTCGAGGAAGTCACAACGTCGGCTTCGGGAAAGCACGACGCCGACTTCGGGAAAGCCCACGATGTCGACTTGGCCTTTAAAGACGACGAAGCTTCCAAGGACGACGGAGGTCGGGTAGCTGCAAGGTTGAGGCCCAAAAATGCAAAGGAGATGATGGCTGACGTCGCCCAGATGTCAGCCTTGCGTCAGGATGCCTTCGGGCTCTCGGGCTGGCAATCATTGCCGAGCCTGTCGCTCGGGCATGGCCTGTCCCTCGGGCTCAAATACGCTGGACCTCATTCCCCGACCCATTCAGTCCTATTCCGCAGCCTGTCCCTCGAGCAGAAGCTCCCGCTGGAGCTGCTCTAAAAGACTCTTTTTTAACGAGAGACACTACTGGATGGATAATGATAGTAGGACCATGTCTTGAATGCTAGAGAGGTTTTCTACTACAATAGGGCCTTTGTATTGTGTGTATGCCTTAAATTAGGGATAAAGGTGCTTAAGAAAATGATAAAGCACACTTCTTTTATTTTCTCTTATACAATCTTAACCGTTGTTGTCGTTTGATTTATTTAATTAAATAGCAGTGAGTGAGAATTTAAAATAGATGCGTGAAAATTAGAATCCGAGTGCATAATACGAAAAGAAAAAGTAATGGAAGTCACGCGGTTTTGGTAAGTCATACATTCCCGCACAAGTGCAGGATATCTCCATCCCGGCTTTGGATTATCTAATCCGAGGATACAAACAAATCCCAAAATTAAAATAGCGAAGGCCAAAATTCTTATCCACACCCGGAGAACGTTGCCTCCTCTCCTCCCCTCAGTGTTCTTGCTTGTCATCTTTCACAGGCTCCGACCATTTTGTACTTGTATCACAGTCACTACTTCACTGTTATATGTTTTCTGAGATAAATATCTCAGCCCCAAAAGCTTCAATCCGAACAAAAGTCCTCGGCTTTCATGGCGACCCACTTCTCTCCTGCAACCCCTGTACGCTTCGTCCTCCAGCCCAAGCAAAACCCTCCCAAAACCCTCCTTTCCATTCGAGGTACATAACCCATTAGTCAATATATAGATATATGTATATGTATATTCATTGCATTCTTATTACTTGTAAATTGATGAACTTTATTATTTGCTTTCGAATTTCCAAGGTACCCTTTTGGAATCCAGTGCTGTAATCCTCCGTAACTAAGTGGGCTGAGTTTGTAATTCGGTTTTGTTTTGTTTTAGCACGCTAAATGCTGTAAAATTTGAGAATTTTGCAGATTCTTTTGGCGGAGGACCGGCCTGTAAGAAATGCCAGCCTAGAACTGTTAAGGTGTGCTCATGGAGCTCATCTGCTAGCTATGTGAGGTCTGAGGACAGCGCTGCGAAGTTTTCAGGCAATCCCATTGTTGTGAAGAAGCAATTGTTCCAAAAGAGGCAAGTTTTATTTGTGCCGCAGAATTAATACTTTGGCTTCTTGTTCTTCTTCTTCTTGTTGTTTGTAATTTTGTAAATTGGGTTAGAATTGCATTTGTTGGCTTAACATATAACAACAATATACTTAAAACAACACGAGTCAGTTGTTGTTTGAGACTTTATATTTGTTGATGTTATCCTCGCAATTTGAGAATGCAATGGGAATTTGGGTTGCGGAGCGCAGCCACTATGGTTAAGGGAATTGTGATGAGTTATTGGTTGTGTACTGGGCTGATTTACCTTCTATTATCTTTTTTATGTCCAGAGCTGGAATTGTAAGAGCTGCTACTATCGAAGAAATAGAAGCAGAGAAGTCTTTGATAAAGAAAGATACTGTAAGCTTGATTTCATTAAAACATGTAGTATGAAATTAGGTTAGAGGGATTTAAGGCTCTTTGGATTTTTTTGGTGGGGTAAGGAAGAACAAACTTGTATTGAGAATGTTAGTTGTATTTCAGGAAGGAAGGATGGACAAGACTCTTGAAACCGTACGATCCAATTTCAATTCTATTAGGACAGGGAGGGCAAGCCCGGCCATGCTGGATAAGATTGAGGTATGAATTAACTTAGGGGGTTGTCTAGCTACTTTTACAATTCATTTTTGTGTAGATTGAGAATGCGACAGTTTTATTTTTCCTCTTAGATCAGTTATAACACAATACTTTTTTAGGTTGAATACTATGGAAGCCCAGTTGGCTTGAAGACCATTGCTAATATTAGTTCCCCTGATGCAAGTTCCTTCTTGGTTCAGCCATACGACAAATCCAGGTATTTCATAAAGTAAATGTATGAAACTAGTAATGGTCACATAAGATCAGTGTGCCATGCTGCATTTCACAGCCTTGCAGTAGACATGTCTGCTTTGGACTAGCCACTGCTAAATCTATCCAAAATGAGAGGAGGAAAGGCACATTATAAACTTACTTAAGACCGACCTGAAAACGCTAGCTAGTGGGAAAGCAATTCTCTGATAGGAGTTATTTTAGATTTTCTCTGTATGTATGTAGAATAAGTGGATGGCGTGCACGGTAAAATTATATATGCTGGTGATTGTTCCAGTGAAATTTACTGCCTTTTCTTTTGATAACCTAAAAGAAATATGGATGCTGTTTAGCTGTAAAGAGCCTGTGTCTTCTATTGGAAGAATGCATTTGATATCAACTGATCATGTCGATTAGTAATCATTTTTTCTAAATGTTGCATCCTTTTTTTTTTCAGCTTAAAGGCTATAGAGAAGGCCATCGTTAGCTCTGATCTTAGTTTGACTCCAAATAATGATGGAGAAGTAATTCGATTGACTCTACCTCAACTTACGTCAGACAGAAGGAAGGTGTGTTGTCATTTTAATCTTCAAGTTAATTATATAACTGACCTAAGGGCTTTTCAGCTCTTCCTATTTTATTGGCCAACGTACATGTACTGGGATGTAATAATTTGTATGATGATTTTATTGGATGGGAAAATTGTTTATACCTTGGTGATCATAAATCAAGGATACGGAAATTATGAAATATATCAAGGATATGTAAGTATTCTGTTTCTGATGACGCTAATAATCAGTCATGTTCTTTAACAAGTGCTTCCTTTTTCTTTTTCATTTTTCATTGCAGGAATTGTCAAAAATTGTGGCAAAACAGACCGAAGAAGGAAAGGTACAGACTTACTGTAGCATCTTTGGCTGATTGATGGTTTAATGTTTTGAGACTTTCGTGGTTTTGGCTGTTGGACATTGCTTAACCAGATCACACAAACTGATATACTAAATAACTGATCCCCACCCCCAGCTCCCTTTCCTTTCCGTTGTTCTCCTCATGGCACCATATTGAAGCAAAAGCACATAGCATACACTGCATCTTAGAAATGCTGTCTTTGCTACCGTTGGTATTTCATTCATTTATACTTTAAGGCAATTGATCTTGTTCTTCTGAAATACCTATTACTCCGCTTTTGTAGGTGGCATTGAGGAACATAAGAAGGGATGCTTTAAAAACTCTTGAAAAACTTGAGAAGGTTTGAATCTTAAAGCCCACCCCCACAACTTCCCTTTCTTTCTCACTTCCTGGCATCTGCTTTACCCCACCCCCAACCATTTTACTTTTACTGATTGCCAACCCCTTTTTTTTTTTTTTTCTAAAGGGAAAAAAGCTCTCTGAAGATAATGTCAAGGACTTATCAACTGACTTGCAGGTAATCTATAGCTTTTGTATACTTCACTATTTTTATGCGAACAAAACTAGGTATCGTGGTTTCCGTGGTGACAAAGAAACCAACTGACTGATTGGTTTCTTTGACATCTGTTCGAGTTATATCTGGCACCTATTTCTTGTTTCACGATTGATTGGAATTTCATTTCAAAGGTTACAGCAGAAAGATATATTCTCGAAATTTGTCATTTCTGGCACCATTGAACTTGACTTGAGTTTAAACTGTTACTGGATGATACAAAGTTTACCTATTTCCTTTGCACAGAAATTGACGGATGAGTATGTGAAGAAACTTGATGCCATATTCAAACAAAAAGAGAAGGTAGTACCTCCATTTGATTATCTACTACATTTGCGAACATCTGCGTTATCTACAGCATAATTGTTGTGCATGCTGATTCTAATGTTAACCCAAGTCATTCGGTGATTTTTTTCGCCCACTACAGAATCAAATCTCGAAGTTTAACGTAAATTACAAACTGTGTTTCAGGAATTGCTGAAGGTTTAGTGATTGTTCATGCGCTGATGATGTAAATGGTTGAGCTTCTATGTCGAAACCTCTATAGGTGTTCCTCTTCCGTGTGCGAATAATTTGCAGTGCTGTTTATACCCTCCACCTTTACAAAGCACCTTTTTGAGATAACCAGACATTGGAAAATATATGCAATGTTCAGTTGCAAGGCTTTCAAATTTCAATCAGAAGTCTTTATATTCACTTCTGATGTTATTATTCTCGTAAAATAATGTAGATTTTCATGAAAAGGAAGAGAAAAACTTGTGTAAGGGGGCATACTGACTACATCATCCGTACGATAGCTCTGGCAAGGGTATGAGACCTCTATATTTTGGTCTCATCCGATTTCATGTCAGTTTGAGAACTACCCTAGTCAAGCAACTTTCCGAAGTTTCCCTAAAAAGGGAAAGCATGTAGCACCAACGTGTAGCTTGGCTTATCTAGGAGAATCACTTCATCGGTCATAACATGGCATTTGTCCCATCGTTCGATTCATTGTCATGTGACCCTACCCTAGAAACCCACAAACCCAATCCAGCCCTACCCCACCCTCCAATACATAAAAGATGAAAGAAAAGGCATTTGGTGGATTGGTCCCGTCATATAGATATTCTGCTATATAACCCTACGATATTTTGCGAAGGCTTTCGTTAGCTCAAAGTATTTCATGTCATTTTTTAGAGTCTTTCTCCACTTATTTTACTTTGAGTCTTTTTCTCATAATCGCATATTTTAATCGAAGCATCTGTAAGTCTTCAGTTTACAAACACTTTAACCGATTTTATCTCATCTTATCTTCAATTACGATCACTCATACTTTACCTTGAATAACCCCGTTTTTAATCTTGTCCCTTCTCGTGTGCCTGCACATCCAAGAAAGTATTCTCAATTACGCTACACTCATGTGTTTACAAGTGTTGATGCTTGACTTCTCCGATCCATTACTTTTCTAAACAAATTCAACATGCCATTGGAAAATTTTAGGGCCATTGCCTTTTTCCTTGGCAACAAGGGTTGCATTGGTGATTGCTCCCATTTTTCAGTTCAAGTGAGTCCCTTTCACTGTATGCATATACAAAAGAAAGATAAGATAAAGTTTTCTTTGCTTTTAATTGTTTGACTACTCACAACTCACAAGTCATATTCGTCATAACTCATAAGCTTCTTTCCAGATATTTAATCCAAAGAACTCCTATTTTTGGCCCACTTTCATCGACATACACTAAAGTAAAAAATCAGTTTCACCATGATATGTTTTCACAACCACTCATATGTTGCAATTTAACGCACGGAAGCTGATTTCAACACACTATTTTTCTCCATATGAGTACTTTATATTTGTTTTTGACTTGGAATTGAATAAAGTTAAAAAAAATTAACGAACAGAAAGAACTAAGGTGTGCAAATGAGATAAATAGTGTGTATAAATCATTGCTCATATAATCGTTAAAAGGGCAATCAAAGTCAAGCTAGGGTATTTGTATTGGGAAGTAAAATAATAAAAAAAAATGTTAATGAGTGCTACATTTGCAATGAGTGACCCACCTGAATGATATTTCCTACCGACTCATGTCCAAAGCCCTTTTCATTAAAGTTTCCTTAGCTTAATGGGTTGGTTTTGAGTAACTTTTTAATTTAATAGGTCAGGTAAAAACTGATCCAAACTCAATAAAATTGATCTATTTACAAGTCTAATCAAAGTAATGTGTCTTTTCTTCTACACTTAAGTTTTGAATCCCCTCTCAATAGTTTAGATTGAAATAATCAGTTTAGATACCGCTAGAAGGAAAACAAATGATGAAAGTGACTTTGATTAAATTTATTTCTTCATGCCATTAACAAATTGAAAATGTTGCAATTGCATGTTTGATGCTGCTTTTGGAAGCCGAGACGCAAAATATGCATAAAATTTTGCAAAATAAACATTTGAGTTTGAAGTTTGAACATTTGTCCGGCGTTCTTATCGATCTCAGCTCATAAACAAATAGTATATCCAGTCTCTTCAAACCCTAAGCCAACCATGAAATCACCACTAAATTAAAAAATACATAAATGTCATATTTTAATTATTAAATTGTACAACTTTCCTTGACCACGACGACCTTCTCGACTAGCTGTGTGATTTTTATTTATGAAAAACTAATAAAAAGTTCTCCAAATTTTTTAGTTTTAATGAAAAATGATAAATAAAAGTGTAAATGAATACTACCAAGAAATGTAAAAATGTTGTTTTTCGTAAAAAATGAACAGTACCAGGAATATTTCGTTAAAAATCCCTTTTATTATTGGAAAACTAATGAAAATAACTTGAAAACTCTAAGTTTTAACGATAAGTACAAAATAAATGGTAAAGTGAATAGTACCATGATTAAGATTTTAGTGTAAAAATGTACTTTTTCGTTTAAGTAAACAGTACATGAGTTTTTTGTTAAAATTCTTTTTATTTATTTTAGGTAAAATTATTTAATTATTTAATTTTTAATTGGAAGCTCTGGGGTGCTTATTTTTAACTCATTACCGTTTCCAAAAGTGCTTTTGTACTATGTGGAACATCAAAATGCTTGCCACATTAACAAATAATAATAATTCCTTCCACACAAAAATATGACTTTTGTCGATCCAAACAGCTTGCACTTTGGATCTAATTATTAAATATTTGTTGTTATTTTATATTATTTTACTAATAAAGTGCCACTAGGATGGATTATCTTGTCTTAACCCACTAAATACAATGTTCTTTCCCAATAAAGAATTTATAATAATGTTTGAGTTGTACAAGCATATTAATATGTTAAAAAAAATAAGTGGAGGATAGCTCAAGTCAAATTACAATAAATTTAGTATAATTAGGCTCGTTTGGAAGTATTTTTAAAATGACTGAAAACGTTTTGGTAAATTTGTTTGAAACTAATTCTCCAAAAATAAGTGCAAGTGAATCATGGAAACTTCATGCAAGAAGCATCAGTACGCACTTTAAAAGTATTTTCAGTTATTTTAAAAATAGTTCCAAACAAATCATAAACTAGTTTAGTAAGTTAGCATTATGTCAATAGTGTGCGTGAAATGTTAAAGAAACTCTCTCTAATTGAAACTCTTTATGAACTCTCTATCAATTCACAATTTAACGTCAATTCACGTGCTAACATTATAAAACATTGTGCAATAAATGAGGTGATAGAGAATCTCATTTTTCAGAGACTCTCCTTAGCCTTCTTATGCTGAGCTTGTCTATTTATATGGTCATAGTTCAAATAAATTTTTCTAAGTTCCCAAAACATCATCTACGAATTGACAACCGATGATTCCCACCAATAGCATTTCAACACGTGTTAATGAAGGCATTTTTAGAGATATTTAATGTTTCACAATTTTGTAGTGCTAATTTTATATATAAAAATACATTACGAAATATTAAATACCAACAATATTAGATACCGAAAATCAATGTGAATATACTGAATTTTTTATATTCCTTGGTTGTTTATAAACATATAAATAAAAATCATACTCATTCCTCGAGGTTTACTAACTTCACGTATCACTTAACAATAAAATTTACGGGAGATGTCAGATGTGCATGCAATTAATTAAGGATTAACAAACATTAAAAGTATTGTTATGGAATAAACAAAGGTTTGTTTTGCTCATTATTTTATTTGAAAAAAAAAACTATGAAAAGGGAATAAAATATGACTTTTCTAGTATTGGGCAAGTTGGGTGGATTCCTTTCTTTAGTTTTTCCTTGGAGAATGCGTACTCAAACTGTCAAACACAAGTGTTGAAAAGCCAAAGAAGCATGCTTTTTGTTTAAGTGCTTTTTTTTCTTCTTTCAATTTAATTAAACAAAAGAAAGACCAAGCAATTAGTTTGAAATAAACAAAGAACAAACGTGTGCCGCCATTAGAGAGCTATGATACTGTTTAGGGTTTTTGATCACGATGATGCTCACTCCCGTAATTATTACTGTTAGATGATTTTAATTTTTGAGATTTTATCCACTGTCAAATACTGGCACAATTTTACCTTAAAGAGTAAATCACGTGCTAGTATTTGAAGGCAAAATAGATGAAATTTCACTGAATACGACGGGGAGGGATTAATGTACCAAAAAAATAGTTCATGTGCCAATTTCAGTTGAGATAATAGTTCAAAGGTTTATTGAATAAAATGAATATGTAAGTAACACAATGTTTTAATTCAATTTTTTTTTTCAAGAAATAAAATTTATAAACCCCTATATTATAACACGTCATTTTACCATCTTGTTTCTTTTATGATACAATCAACGAGTTAATTATTGCAAAAGAGTGACCATCGAATCCACAAGATATCAAATAGAATGATATGTGCAATTCTCACTGCATGGGGCATATTTGTATCTGTATGCATAGTTAGAGAGAGAGAGAGAGAGAGAGAGAGAGAGAGAGAGAGAGAGATTCTGTCTTCCATTCTGTGAGTTTTGATGATCATGGAGAGAAGCAGAGAAACAAGAAGGCCAACCATGGCAGCAAGCAAAAAACAGAAGAGAATCGTGAAAGAACAGAGCAAAAAACAGAGGAGGTACAGAGGAGGAGATCAAGATCAAGAGAGCACAGAAAAGAGCTTGGGTTTTTCCGACCACCAAGTTACGCCGCCGCTAAAAGCTGCCCGTGAAATGATAGGAGTTTCAGTTCCCAGAAAAGCTCGCTCAGGTAAACCAACGTCCAAATGCACTCTCTTGCTCTGTTTTTGGAATTCGTATATAAATTTGATTTCTTTTTTGCAGCTGCTGGAAAGAGGTCGCATGAAAATTTCTCTTCTGGGAGTTATGGAGGAGTTGGGGAGGAAGAACAGAGTTTTCAGCAGCAGAGATTCAAGGCTGCGTCGCTTTCTTTCTCAAATGTTTCATCAAGGAAGAAGATGGTCAGCTAGTTCTCTGTTTTTCAAAAAACAAAATCATGATTTGAAGATTTTTTTGGAAAGCTTTGAGATTTGAGCTTATGAATTCATATTTTGCAGAAGCCAAATGGACCCAAGATTCGGATTCCAAACCAGTCGAAATCTTCAGGGCCTGTAGAAGAGGAAGACGCCATTGAGATTGAGATCGCTGAGGTTCTCTATGGCCTTATGAAGCAAACCCAGAATTCGAAAACTTCGAATTTCGAAGCTAAATGTAGAAATGGTATTAGTGACGGTTTCCTGTATTTTATTTTTTATACAAG